ATCCCCCACTTTGAGATATCCCCATATCGTAGCCTGGTTTACAAACCCATTGCATTGTAGACATATCTAAGCTACCATAAACCTGAGCTGGAAGAACACCTTTACTTATTCGACGTACCAAACATGAATGCAAATTGTTTGATGGAACATCCCCGATAAAGATTTGAGAATCCGTCATTCCATCACATATATTGCATTATTTCACACCATTCGCTATATTCTGCTGCTTGATTTTTTTTTGAAACACCATGTTGGCTATTAATCATACAAAACAACCCAGCTCTCTCTCTCTCTATATATATAATTATATAATCCCTTCCCCAGTTCATATTGAACACCCCCAAACGTAACCATGGTGGATGTAGGGAATGTCCACATTCCATTGGGACCATTTTACCGGGGTGTTTGATATGAACGGGGGATAATTTCTACCCACCCAGGTCGTGGCAGATGAGGATGCGCAGGTCGCGGCTTCGTCGCTGGTTGAACGACGCTGAAACAATGGGATTTTAATGTGGGTGAAACAATGCCGCAAACCACGCATTTGGGAATGGTAACCATACCACCTATCAAAATGGTGATGACATGTGATGACTGGGGGATGGTTTATTGTTTTACCACCATTAAAAGTTGATTTTCATGGAATAGAATTGGAAAGAACACACACAATTGGTGGTTTGATTGGGATACAGTTGGGATATGTAGATACAATAACAATGATAGTAAGAACAGTCAAGATACTAATGATAGCAATAATGATTAATTGTTAATTAATAATAGTAAGGATATAAATATAATTATAGTGATAATGTTACTACTCAGATTGTATTATCAAACGATTAATTCCAACACCACAAACGAGAATTATAATCACTTCTTTAAGTTTTAGCGTTGCAATGATAACCATGCACGATTACCGAATGGTGCTTACCAGTACTGCAAAAACAGTGGTATGAGAACATATGAGCATGAACGCGTATTAGTACCCAATTGGGGTTTACAAACCATAAGAGTGATGGTTATATCCGAAAATGTTCAACCAGTATACCCAAAATCTACCTCAACCTTGGTGATTAATCATTAATACCCTATATAATACCATATAATACCCTACAGTAAGTTGGGGTTCATAATGTTTCATACATGCTTTTAAAAAAAATAGGAATCTATTGTTCCTATATTGTGGGTGTGATTGAGATTTACTAAAGGAAATGGCGTTGATATGCAAATCATCGATATTACCCATATTATCCTCTGGTAAATTAGCATAGACCCTGAAGAGTATCAATTTTCATCGGAAACTAATCTTCCAACACCTATCTGGCAGGGTCTATGTTAATTTACTGGAGAGTAATTGGGCTATAATTCCTGCAGGTCAGAGAGCCTCTTCGTCCATTGGGCCGCCTTCACGAACGTGAAATGTTTATTGTTGTACCCAATAGCCCAATTTAACAGTGATTATAACAGTTGGTGCAAATAACTTCAATAAGCATGGGATATAGTAGATATCACTATAGTTAATGGGTTAAGTTATGCCCGTTGAATGAAGTGTGGGGTCTGGAGTCGGAGGTCTTGGGAGATGTTTGCTCTGGCTTTGTCAACTTGAAAACTCGTCCACGATTCTATGTTGGGCAGGCGGAAGTGTTTGGCAGTCAGAATTTAGAGGAGTTGACGCGGAGTGGTGGTTCAAAGACCTTACTCGTCACAGCGCTTTTGCAAATTTCATCACGACCTTACTGTTCTCCCTCACTGGAAATCATGCCTAGGATTCGGGAAATCATCCCCAAATGGCCTCACACTTCAGTATAGTGAAATATTATAATCTACCCAGATGAATACGGGACGTAGACGTAGACCTTATACCCCTATAATTATATTAATCAAATGCTTATTAATATTTATAATTTATGTTTAATAAACTATAATGGTGATCATTGTACCCAAATTGGGTAACCATTATTAGTGTAATCATAATAATTTCGTATTTGTGCACTCCCATCATCATATCTATTACTATAATAACAATGATTATGGATTTTTGATACGTATGTATTATATTAAACCTCAGTTGGTGAATACTATTAACTACCTGTAACAATGATTATACAATGACAATGACTCTTATACCCAATTAGGGTTTTTATAAGCTATTGCATTAATTAGTGTGTCCAGTTTATGATTGTCATCTTAATAACTATACAATAACTATTTGATAGCTATTAACTATTTTTGTAGGTCATAGGGTCTGATTTGATCATAGGCTTTATCTTAATAGATTTTGGATATAGATCTGCCATTATAAGTTTACCCTAGGGTTTACTATATTCCAGCAATCAGAATGATCATAATTAACAACCCTAGATCATAATCATAACTATAAGATATGAATTGCATTTTAGGAAGTAACTCTTGGAATTTTCTTTCAGGTAGATCTAAATCAATAAAAAATCATAATAGATCTTGGATATTTACCCTCAGGGTTACCCTCCGGCTTTCACTAACATCGAAAATCATCATTTTAATAGGTAAATCAACTATAAACAACCATTTTCAATAGTAAACTGTTAAATTACCAGAGGGTACCATATATCTCTATCTATCTATCTATCTATCTATCTATCTGTATGTACCATTATTATATATAACCATATTTGGATCCTCAATGATGGACATCATATAAGTCATAAACTCATATCATCCATATTATGTGTTTCCAGATTTTCATATAATCCATTTATTAAATATAGATATTTTCATTTAATCCATATTAAATATAAATAAAATAAATCCATATGATATCCATATCATTTTTCCTATCTCCGCAAGGTGCGTCACGAGGTGCTCCAGCTCAAGAGCGATTCCGCGCGCTTTGTGGAGAGCATCATGGCCGAGGTCGTGGCCGCCGGTCAAACACAGGGAGTTCACGGGCAAATTTGGGGATTCTACATGGAAAATGGATGAACATGGCGAGTGAGGCCAAAAATAACAAAGGAAAACCAGCAAAAAAAAAGTACATTTAGATGATTTAGACTTTAAAATTAGGAGGTGATGGTGAAAAGCTATGAGAAATTGGGATTTGTGGGCGGACAGCCTTCCAACATGGGGATAGCAAGCTGTGAAAAGATGGCTGGAACCAGCTGAAGTGGGGCAGGAGGAAATGGTGAAGTTAGGAGTACAAACAAATTGGCGGATGATTATCCCAATTTTTAGTGGAGGATGATCCCAATCCTCAAAACAAATGCCAATGAGGGACATGGGGAGACGCACATGCAACAAAAGTTCGAGATTACGAGGAAACATGCAACTAGAAATCCGATAAAAAAGATTGCGACTTGGACCAACAAAACATGGAGAGAAACTTCTGAAGATGGGGGTACAACAAATGTGGAATCATAGTAATGGGGTAAAATCATAGCAATTAATGATGGTTTATGATGTTTAATGGTCAAAGGATGGGATAATAATAGGGATATCATGTTAATGTTGGCAACCCGATGCAATAAAGAACTACCATGACTGGGGACGGCCTATAGAACCCATAAAAATTGGGATTTTGGGGATAGTTTATGGCATTGGGTTTACCACATTAGTTCCACACCTCGAGAACCCAAAAGTAAGCCACCTCAAATGTCAATCCGATGGGAATTTTGCCGTTGGATCGGAGGCTACCCTCAAAACTGAATGGTTATGAATGAGAGTAGAATCCCAAAACTGACAAGTTGATTTGTGGTTTCCTGGATGTGTTATTTATTATATATATAGTCTATTATATAGTGATATCCCCATCCTCAATTGGTGCTATCCCTATTTGTCCCATAAATGAGGGGTTCTTTTGGGGACCCCGAGCGCCTTGACGAAAATATTTGTCAACTCTGTACGGGGAATCGCCGATGTTTCGACAAAGCCCCCCCAACAAAAATACCACCAAGACACAAAGACATCCTGGTTGGTGGTTTGGAACATTTGGATTATTTTTCCATTCAGTTGGGAATGGAATAATCATCCCAACTGACGAGCTCCATCGTTTTTTAGAGGGGTAGGGCTCTACCACCAACCAGCATCATCTGATTCACTGATTCAACTGCAGCTGTTGCTGACCGAAGAAAGGATGTCAAAGGCTCGCATGTTGCGTTGCGCATTCCGATGTCAAACGGAATGTCAAACACGGAAACCACGGCTTGTTTGAAAATGGAGCACACCCAAATTTCCACCGGGTTTGAGGAAATTCATGATCATATTCCGCATGAAATTTTCAGGGTATACCCCATGTTCAGACACAATGAATTGAGAAAACTGAGACGACTGTGCACTCAGACTTCAACCAATCGACTTCTCCCAACCAGTCGATTGGTTTCACACTTTTCTTGTGGCGGATTTTGATCAAAGAAACTGGGCAATCATAGCATAAATACATACTAATACCATGAAGAGATACTAGCTGGTGCAGTTTCGCCATAACCTAAAGAGATACTAGCTATTCACTTGTGGCAACTATTCACTTATGATTGGCAAAATGACGACATCCACTACAGCCACCAAGATTTGTCGGTCAGCTGTTGGGCAGGGAACGATTTCAACAGATTTGCACTACTTGGATCAGTCACAAAAAATGCCAACTAAGCTTGCAGTGAAGCAACTCCAAAAAGGGCTTTCTAATAAGTAGCTGGCCAATGTTGATTGGTAATGTCAACCCTGGATTAATAAACACCAAACGGCTGTTTGATTGGGGGGGTACCATTTATGTCTCATAGTGTGACTATTTGGAGGGTCCCACAATTAATAAACCATGGTTCAGTAATCCGGAGTTGACATTTATCACTTTATTTATAAATGGTCCATTTTCAATAGCTATGTTAGATTACCGGAGGGTAGCTGGCCAATGTTGATTACCCTCTGGTAATTTAACATAGCTATTGAAAATGACCATTTACAGTGAATTTTCCCATTAAACATGGTGATTTTCCATAGTTATGTAAACGTTTACCAGAGGGTAGTACATAGTGCATCAGAGTGCGAATCCATCCACTGCCCGCTGCTCGCCTCCTCGTCGCGAAATTTCACATGGCCTCTGAGGCAGGAAAACAAAAGGGGCGATTTTCGACGGCCCCATAGCGAAGTTGGTTTATGGTAGTTTGGTTGGTGGTTTCAAACATTTCTTTTATTTTCCATTTCATATATGGGATGTCATCCTTCCCATTGACGAACTCATATTTTTCAGAGGGGTAGGTATACCACCAACCAGTAGTAGATATAACATTATATACCTATAGTTCATAGATGTTGATAGGGTTTATAAACCAACTTATAACTGGGGGGCACCATCCTGTACTGAACTTAACTGTTGTGCTGGTAAAGATCTTTAAGTAGATGATCTTGTGGATGATCTGAGCTTGATCGTAAAAGCTCTAGTGAAGGTCACTATCCATCTACCGACATCTCACGTTTTGTGGATTTCGAAGTGATTGTTCATGCTTCGATCACCTTGGTTGTCTGGCAAATCTTCCATGGACACCAACGATTTCCAAGGTTGACCTTTTGCGAAGCACGGCTGATGCTTGTGAGGTTCACCGGGTTTACTTCACGCTTCACAAGTCACCCAAGTCACCCAAGTCACCCAAGTCACCGGGTCGTCACCGGGTCGTCACCGGGTCGTTCACTTGGTCGAGGCGGAAGCCGATGCACGGCATGAGATAAAGTGGAGCCAGTCGGAAGAAGACATCACACTGAGAGTTCTGGTGGACGCTGAGACAACTCCCACTCAGTGGGACGCAGTGGGACGCAGTGGGACGCAGTGGGACCACCGCGAAAAACTCTTTTGGGGCCAATTTGGGAATTTACAGGGAGATACTGTGGATGGGTGCGAAATCCACCACCAAAAGGATGGTTGAAACCAACCCTATGAATAATGGGATGTTTACCATCGTTTTAAACTGGTGATTCGGATTTCGCTGGCCCATCCACAGTAGCTATGGAAAATGGCTGTTGATCTATGGTTAATAGATGTTAATCATGGTTTTTAACGTGGACAATAATGCTTGGCCATGGGTTGATGGATCCAAGGGATCCAAGTCACTGGTGACCAAAGATCTGTCATGTCAGCTATAGCCTCTGGTAAACGTTTACTTAAAACGTTTACAAATCACGAACTGGAAAATCACCATGTTTTTTATGGGAAAATCAACTATTTCAACGGGGCCATGGCTTCAATAGCTATGTAAACGTTTACCAGAGGGTAAGTTGGTTTGTAAACCCCACTGACTACAGTTATAACATGTTATAACTAGCATAAAGCATAGTTATTGGAGTTATTTGCACCAACTTAGCTATCTAGGGGGCAGCGAATTGTAACCATCACCGAATAGTGGGATAAATTGGTGAGTAGACTAAAAGCTGAAGAAAAAAAACACGGCCTGACAGAGGAATAGTGACTATATCCAACTAAAGTGTGGCTTGTTTGGGGAATAACTGGTTGGTGGTTTGGAATATGGCTTTTATGACTTTCCATATATTGGGAATGTCATCATCCCAACTGACGAGCTCATATTTTTCAGAGTGGTAGGTATACCACCAACAGATCAGGTTTAGAAACTGATCCTCGTGGGATACAACCATAGGACTGCATGGTTCCCATGAACATCATCCCAACCGGCTTCCCCCAAGGACTGCTTAGATTGCTTATAAGCCGCTTCTCGCACTTCTCAAAAAACGAACCTGAAATTAAATATGAGCTGAGTTTTTTGCTCAGAAACTGAGCTAAAAAATCCCTTTGTATACAAGAGGTTGCTCCAACCCACATAGCCCACTTTGCCCAGGACACAGAAACCAAGAAAGAAGATGTGAAGTTCAAAGCGGGAAACTCAGAGTCGCCTGTCAACGTGTCAACGTGTCATACCTAGATGGTCGGTGCTGAAAAATCACTCTGTATATTATTATTGTTGTTATTATCTGTATACATATATATATATATACATATATATCATATGTGTAGCATATGATATATATGTATATATACATGATCTTTACATGCTATATACATTATATATATATATACATATGTATGTGGGTAGACTATAATTGCCTCAGATTGCGACGTCATGTGTAGTACTAGTAGGGGTTATGATCCCAAGTGACAGGTTTAACATTTTGTCCGTGATGGTTCAAGTACCAGCTGATAGGTGTCTATGATCCAATTTCCGGAACACCTCACAACTCTGAGCAGTTTCAGAAACCCTGGTGTTGGTTGATAGTGAAAAAAACACTTTTCATGGTGATATCATGGGGGTACCAACAAATCGCTGTTGAGTTCTTGTGGGTTCAACTGATTTTTACATGATTTAACCATCGTAGAAAACCATATCGGCTTTATTTGGAAAGGTGGGGAAACCGATTTTCAAAGCCATGATTCTTAGTCAGGTAGCTCTGATTCTTTCTATCCCAGAGTCAGAGTTTTGTTAGGTCTACTTCCGTAGTTTTTTAGTCATACCCTCTGGTAAACTAACCTAGCTATGGAAAATCACCATTTTTAATGGGTAAATCCACTATTTCTATGGCCATGGCTTCAATAGCTATTTTGACATAACCAGAGGGTAGTTCATCTCTACCTTGATCACATCATTCACCCCAAAACTTTGGCACCAAAACTTGTGCTGAAACCTGACCAAATCAAAAAAATCACTGGGAAACCAAAGGTTTTCGACATGTTTTCTATGTCTCCGCCAGCGAGTGTCCAATGAAGTATCCATCCACCATATGATTTTGTTATAGCAATCCCGAACTACTGGTTGAAAAGTTGGACATATCATTTAATTATCATGCAAATATAATCTATATTATCTATATTATCCTGGAAACATTTTTGGGTATCTTTTTGGGGTGAATTTGTTATATCATGGTTTACTGTTTATATATATAATATATAGTACCTATATCCATAATATATATATATACATATCTATCACGGATTTCGAAATATCAGGTAAATATCGTGGCAGATACAAACATAAATATAGTAAGTATGATATTTCGAAATACTTTATCATAAACATAGCTTGTGTGTATATATATATATATTTGGCTCGATTATAACGACCTCACTGCGAACGAAGCCCGTGATGGTTCAGATTCGGGGAATTATCCCAATATAGTTTTTTTCAGATTAGTCAATTACTTTATTTTACCCATATGTATATATATACATATACATATACCCATATATGTATATATATATATACATACATACATACACACACCCACATACATACATACGTACGTATGTACGTACATACATACATACACACACATACATACATACATACATACATACATAGACACATACATACATAGATACATACATACATAGATACATACATAGATACATAGATACATACATACATACATATAATATAAATATATATACATACATACATATGTATATTTTTATATACACACATAATATATACATACATACACACGTTTAATTTTCATACATACTTCCTTTTTTTACATACATACATATACAAACATACACATACATACATACATATAATATAAATATATATACATACAGACAAATAATATATATACATACATACATTGAATAATATATACATATACAAACATACACATATTAGATTTACATGCATACACATTTTATATATACATACATACATATAAAATATTTACATACACACAAATAATCTATATACATACATACATATAATAATATTTACATACACATACATTCACATATTTTATATACATATATTATATATATATACATGCATACATAGAATATATATATATATACATACATACATATATTTTAATATTTATATATATATACATACATACATATATTTTAATATTTATATATATATATACATACACATAAATTATATATACATACATACATATGATATATATATATATACATACATACATATAATATGTTTATACATATTTACATACATACATATAATTTATATACATACATACATAATATATATATACACATACATATAATATATATATACACATACATATTATATATATACATACATACATATGATATATATAAATACATACATACATATAATATATATATATACACACATACATATATATTTACATACATACAATAACTATATATATATGTATTTACATGCATACATAATATATATACATACATACATATAATATATATATACATACATACATTACATTACATTACATTACATTACATTACATACAAAATATTTACATACATACATATAATATATTTACATATATACACACATATTTACACATATTGGATACACTACGGACCATGACATGGTTCCTGTCCATCCCTTGGCCCGCCCCAAGGTACTGCGAGACACGCTTTCTGTCAGCATCCGAGGTGAAGAAATCTGCGACGCACAGCTGGTGCGGGAGGTCGATCCTGAAGAGCCACGTGGCAGAGACTGGATTTCATGGGATTTCTATAGGATTTCTATGGGATTTCTATGGGTTTCATGGGATTTCTACGGGTTTTAGTAGGATTTCTATGGCTTGTTGTAAGATTTCTACCGTTTTTTTGAACGGATCTCTTTTTCAATTTCCGTTAAGATCCGTTGAGGTGAATCAGGTGGTCATATGGGAAATGGTTGTCCATGCTTGTCCCATATTTGTTTTTACAGGTGATTAATGGTGATTAATAATGGTTAATGATGGTTAATGATGGTGATTAATGATGATTTCACTAACCCTCTGGTAAACATACAAAAAGCTATTGAAAATGGCCCAGTCGAAATAGTGGATTTACCCATTAATAGCATGGTGATTTTCCATAGTTATGTAAACGTTTACCAGAGGGTAGTTGGGTATTTGTTTACAAACTTGTAGGGATAATCTATTGTTATTGCTTGAAATGGATGGAAATGGGATATATAATACCAACTATTGTTTTCAGTGTATCCAAGATTGGACTTTTTAAACTGTTCCCCCCTTTCTCCAGTGGGTCTCTTGGATGAAGCATTTTTGAGTTGTCACATGGCCGTACTGGGGATGCAGCTTAAATCCCAAACTGAGGTCCAGCTGGGTGCTAGACAATGAGGTGTGGGATAGGGAGCTGAAAGAGTAGGATGATAACCATGACGATCAAAGATGCTTGGTGCTTGCATGTTGTTTGATTGTTTCTTTGATGCGTAACCCTAGAGATGGCATGAGGATTGTGACGAGCGTGTTTTTTGACAACCAATTTGTGGCTGGAAATGAATGGTGCCCCAACAAAAACTGATTAGATATTATGAGTTGTTGCAACCAAAATATGGGGATGTGACCATGAATAATGGGCGTTTAGCTGTTTGATGGCAACAGATGAAGTGATTACCCTCTGGTAATTTAACATATTGAAGCCATGACCATAGAAATAGTTCATTTATACATATCAAAAATGGTGGATTTTCCAGTTCGCTATGTAAACGTTTACCAGAGGATGTGAAGTGAGGTTTCTTCATCACAGCAAGATGAGCATCTCCACAGCGTCTCGTGGTTTTCGTTTGGTGAGTCTGGTAGTTTGAAAATACCATCCTGGTTGGTGCTTTGGAACATGGCTTTTATTTTTCCATATATTGGGAAACAATAATCCCAACTGACTTTCATATTTTTCAGAGGGGTTGAAACCACCAACCAGCATCCGCTAATAAAAGACATGGCTAGCTGGGAATATGTTTGTTTAGTGGTGGAAAACTCCGGACTAAATTGAAGCTTATGGCTGGGAAAATTATCGAACTATTCTTGAGAGGTTTTCAAGTGGCATGTTTGATGACACCGGAGGGTAATGGATCAATATTTCATTTACCATTTCATATAGTCTATTGATATGTCGCTAATATCCACATTACGCACCATTACATACCCATTAAGCCATCATATCATCATTTCTAGAGGATAAAACCTATATAACCTTTTTGTTGGTCAAGATCCATATCTTTGCTGCTTCAGAAACTCTGCCTCCCCATTGTATCACAAATTAGCCATTTTTGATTAGCGGAGGGTAACTTGCGCATCTATACCTGTATCAGGGGATGATGACACCCCCAAGTGCTGTGAAAACACCCACGGAATCCCTCTTGAGCCATCAGACTAAAGACACTGGGTTCAGGATGGGGCTCCCAAGATAGCTTTCAGTTGCCTTATAAGTGGCTGAATTAACTCTGGTTTATGGTAGATATAACGAACTAGTTTTCATGGATGTTTTGTTATGGTTTATAAACCAACGTTCGCACCACTCGGGGGACCAAGGATCCAATCTACCATCCCCATGGATTCGTGCTGATCCTGCAGGAATCCCCGAATCGCAGCAAGAAAAAAAAGACAAATGATATGCTACCAACTTTGCCTATGGCAGTGCTAAGAATGCCCATTCATTTTATAGAGGTTATGAGGTTCCTTTCCCAGTAAAACGTGTAAGGTTGGTTGTGAAGGCTGTTTCAGATGGTCACCGATGAAATCCCTTGGATAGTAGTTGTGGGATAGCTGTGGGATAGTGGCAGAAATATGCTTAATTTTGGGATCACAAATAAGAAACTAGGAGTTAGATGGAGCGTATGATGGATCATGGATGATGCAGCGGAATGGGGTGAAGTTCAAGATGCTGGCCGCAGAAGTCTCAGCAGACTGCTCGGCAGCTTCGAGAAATGAGGTTCCGATCGTTCTGCGATTGGCCGTCGGATCGGACGATGGAGGGAGTTTTTGAATCCCAACATCAACTATTCAATAAACTATGTTCAAGACTGTCTCCCAATCACAGGGACAGTTGCTATGGCATGGGAAGAGCTATGTTTTTCTTGTTTCCCGCTATGTGATGGCGCTGAAGTTTCCACAGAAAAACATCATGCGGTGGAGTCAGGGAGCATGATCCGATGAGGAAAATGCAGTCCGTGGCAGGTGTCACGATGGTGACATTGGATCCCACATTGAATCATATCCCCAATCCAGAAACATTTCCCCGGCATATGGATTGGCTGAAAAACGGCATAGACCCACAATTATCTGGTTGGTGGTTTGGAACATGAATTATATTTGTCCATTTCATATATGGGATGTCATCCTTCCATTGACGAACTCATATTTTTCAGAGGGGTAGGTATACCACCAACCAGTAGTAGATATAACATGATATAACTATAGTTCATAGATGTTAATAGGCTTCATAAACCAACTTATAACTGGGGTTCACCATCCTGTACTGAGAAAAAATCATTCATCAACGTCTGGGTCTGAAAAAGAGCCATATCTCCAGCAGCGCCATGGAGGGTGGTCAGCGGCTGATGATCATCACTTTGCAGAAGGTGAGACCGAAGAGCGCCTTGAAATCCGCCAGGCCTGGTGGAGACGGAAAAAACACCGAGATTCATGGATTATATCCCCACACATATTATATATATATATATACGTGTGTGTGTGTATGACATATATGTATGTATGTGTATATATATATATGGGCAAAGTATCCCACACTTGGGCACATGTATATATATATATATATGTAAATCAACAAATGATGGTTGATTACATTGTAGTTGAGTTGAAAAAACAATAAATGATGTATATCAGTGGAATATCAAATGGGAACCATTGGATGTGTGCTATATTGACCAACAATTTGACGGCGGTTCCTTCTGGAAAAGACTTTACAAGGTGGTGCCCCAGTTCGGAATCGCTAAGTTGGTGCCAATAACTCCCATAACTATGGTTTATGGCAGATATAACTATAGTATTCATGGGGTTTATAAACCAACGTTCACATCACTGGGGGGCACCATCCTGTAGGGAATTGGGATTATTTCACCGGAAAATTTCAGTGGACCAGCGGTCGACCTGGGGGAAAAAAATCTCGGGGAACCAATTGGATGGAGCGAGTACCAACTTAATTTTCTTTTGCCATGGGAAAATCCAAACTGGGATTATTTTTTCCTAAAACAAAAAATTGAAAACAAAAAAGCTAGTCTAAAAAGCTCAACATGTTACCGGGTAAACGTTAGGCGTGGAAAACCCATGAGGGGTTTCCGAAACGGAAACGATCTACGATTGTGGTGTAACTTTTCCCACATCGAACTGTTAGAACAAAGGGTATCCTTTGGCCATGGAAGGGGACCATTCCCCCATGACAATGACGCCCACCAGTTGTTTGTCTTCTACAAGACACACCTTTTTGCGAAACACCTGGTTGAATGTATTGGATCAGCTTTTGGATCTATTCCGCATAGGAGCCACATGCGGAGTAAAAAAAAGTATGACACTGCATCCATTTTTGAGAAGATCTTATATCTTTTCGGGAATAGATATTTAAAATGATGATGCAGTACAGGTTAACATCCTAGCTTTGGGGTTAAGCTTGAGCCCAGATTAGGGGGAGGTGTCCATATGCTGATTATGATCATTAATACTACTCTTATGATTTGCATTAGTAGTATGAGTAGTATATAGTATCATGATCATTGTTATTGCTAGTACTAGTGATATTGTTGGTATTGTTATTAATATCAGTAGTAGTAGTAGTAGTAGTAGTAGTAGGTAGTAGTTGTTGTTGTAGTAGTAGTAGCAGTAGTAGTAGTAGTAGTTAGTAGTACCATTATTTTTTGTATTTATTTATATCCCGATTTATCCTCATTATTCACCACCATTTTTGTTGGTCAATTCCCATTGTATCAGTAAATATCCCCATTCAATGGTTTCAAATCCCAGTCAATCATCATTATATCATGGGTTATTTACCACTTACTAACCATATTTCTAGTTGGAGCCCGACCCATAGACGGCCGTGGAGTTTTAAGCATTTTTTGGCATTTTTTTCGTTTTTTGATGGTCTTGCATGTCAACTAGCACACAGACGTCATGCTACATTATGGTTATCTTGGGGTGGGGTTGGGTGGGGTGGGGTGGGGCAATGACGTTCATGTCAACTTGCCCACACACGTCATGCTACGTTATTGTTATGTTCTCTTGCACTTGCACACACACGTCATGCTACGTCATGGTGATCTTCTCTTGCACTTGCTCACACACGTCATGCTACGTTATGGTGATCTTCTCTTGCACTTGCTCACACACGTCATACTACGCTATGGTGATCTTCTCTTGCACTTGCACACACACACACGTCATGCTACGTTATGGTTATCTTGGGGTGGGGTTGGGTGGGGTGGGGTGGGGCAATGACGTTCATGTCAACTCGCCCACACACGTCATGCTACGTTATTGTTATGTTCTCTTGCACTTGCACACACACGTCATGCTAGGTTATGGTGATCTTCTCTTGCACTTGCTCACACACGTCATGCTACGTCATGGTGATCTTCTCTTGCACTTGCTCACACACGTCATGCTACGCTATGGTGATCTTCTCTTGCACTTGCACACACACGTCATGCGCACCATTGTTTTTGCAGATGGAAACCGTGCTTGGGAGTCACATGCCAAAAGTTTGAAAATCAAACATGCCAAAGTGTCTCATAAAAACAAAGAATGGACCAAACAAATGCGAAGAACCTCCTTTTTTTTCCTGTCCACTGTGGCAGGGACGCAAATCGCTGACAGATGGTGGAAAGGCCTTTCCAAGACGGTTGTATGATGGAGTCAACACAAAAGAACACCCTGAATTGGAAAAGTTTGTCTTGGGTTACTGTTGGCGAAAATCTTTGGGACCATTGGCACCTCACCGGTTTCTCGAAGAACTTTGCAAGGCCGTCAAAGCAATGAAGCGCTTCTGAGAAGAAGGAAAAAAAGTGCTGCATCCCAAAAAAACACGAACTTATGTCAAAAAACGAAGTAGTTTTGGAGATTTTCAAAACCCTATTTTTCACGTCAACATGAGAAAAAATGACGTTTCGCTGTCGCGAAAACGACATTTTTGTTGATGAAAAACTCCTAAAACCATACGGCCGTCTATGGGTCGGGAACCCTCTAGTTATATCTTGTTGCTGGCAATTTTTAGGGACACAACTTGGATTTGCTGGGTTATTAACCGCTTACACACCATATCTGCAGGTATATCACCATTTTTGTTGTGGCCTTCTAACGCTTGTTCCCATGACCCATAGCCATCCAGGCAATGGCCCTGCTTGTGGAAAGCCGACGCCTGACCAGCAGGGTTTGTTTTCAGCAGAGCTCCTGGTGACGTGTCGTTACCTTTGGTTTTCTTATATGAATCTGAGGCGTATATATGCATATAATATATATATTTATTTATTTATATATATATATATATGTCCATATGTATTTATATATATATGTATAGTGTATATACGTATGTTTGTATATGCATATATATATATATGTATGTATAGTGTATATACGTATGTTTGTATAGTGTATAGAGAGAGAGAGAGTATATATATATATGCTTATATATATATGTTTGTGTGTATACATATAGTTAAATATAGTTTCATTATATACATATTAAATTTTAGTATATACATAAAGTATATATATACATATAGTCTATATATATATACGTATGTGCATGAATGCTCTCATTTCGTGTACATACATGATGCCACACCCAAAAAAAAATGCGTACGAATTCGCCAAATGTCATCATTTGTTCTTTAAAGATCCAAAACCAAAAAAGTTAGTTGTATTTTGGGGCACCACATGAGCAAAGTTTCCAACATTTTGCCACTTGCAGAACACATTGTTTTCACCATTGAAGATGGGCATAAACCCAACTGGGTCACACTGATGAGGAAGATCGAAATCTGTATGAACCAAAGACTAGATGGCTATGGGTGATGGTTAATACCAAAAAGCGACCATATCTACTGTCCTCTATGCTTAAGATGATGACTCAAACCCACATAAATATGCATAAACACGCATACATATACGCCTGCGCGGGTTCTCACTCCTGCTCAAGTGGCAAGCCAAGTTTGGGTTGATCGCTTTTTCACCCAACGAATCGCTCAAAGCAGCGAATTTTGGACGTTTGTTCCGCGGTTCAAAAAGGAAATCACTCCAGAGAAATGAGATGATCAGAGTAGATTTCGATCCAATAATTGTGATACAGTCAGATAGTCATAATCAGATAATCATAGTAAATAATTGAATTTATATATATATATATGATCATTCAGATATACCGCAATAAGCAGATCTATTTAGATGTCGAAAATCCATCTAAGTATGATTACCCTACTCAGAAAACCATCAATCTATAATCAACCATACTTAGATGGATGATTGACTGTAGATGTTGTTGAACGGTTCGCAACTGGGTTATATAGTTTATATACCCAAACATAGCTGGGTATATCATGGGATGCAACCCAGCTACTCATTTAACAAACTTATATGGCCCGTAAAAGTAAGATGTATTCCCATGTGGTTTACCCTCTGGTAAACATACAAACAACTATGGAAAATCACCATTTTATAGCTCGGTAAATCAGCTATTTCTACTGGGCCATGGCCTCAATAGCAAACTGTAAACGTAGATAGGATGTGTATATAGTAATATAGGATATTTTCCATATTATCCATATTATCCATATCATCCATATCATCCATATATTATCCATATTGAAGATGGCTAATTGTAGCTACACTATGGGTTCCAGCAACTTGGTTTGTTCAAATTGACCCATTTAGCGGGCTACATCTACCAACCATGTTGTAAACCAACTAGGGGCTGCAGCCCACTTAGTAAATGGGTTATACCTCCAATTGTGTATGGAATATCCCTCATTAGATAGAGATTAGATAGCTTAAATATATATATATGTGTGTGTGGATTCTATGGATTACAAACCACTTTCTAAGTGGGATTCACATCCAAGTACTTATGGTGACCAACTTGCCTATTTTGAGGGGTTGCTACAGGAATAAAGTTACAACCCAGTCAGATCAATGGAACATTCCCCTTATTCATGGGTTATGTATGGATTATTTACCATTTACAACTCTATCAGTCGTATCACCATGCTTGTTTCGTTGAAACCCCGTACGATACTCTAGATGAGGGTTTTTAACCCCTATGATATAACCAATGAAAAAGGTCAACTGGCTTATTAACCACTCACTTACCCATATACAATTCATATATTCCCCACATGAAACCACTTGTGTGTTTTTTCTGCACATCCCCGCAGTGAAATTGTAACCCAAATAGAAACCACAAAAGTACTGGTGCATGCACCTACATATAAACATATCTATATACATACATGTATGGGTAATTACTTTCCAACTATTGTGGATTGTATATGGAATCTCCCCATGTGAACCAACAGAAACCTAGAGATATATAGAGATACACAAACCAGATACATTGCATGGATTACCCCCATTTATGTGATATGGGTGATTAGCCACTTACTAACTATATCTCCAGTTGTATCACCACTCAGATAGCAATGGAGTTGGTTACAACCCAGTTATTATAGAGTTAACTATGTTATCCCCTTTAAATCCCCATTATGGTGATATATTCCCATATTCCAGCAATTTCTGTTGGATGTCAATCTCTGATTCTGGGAGTGGTCAGCGTTTTTTCCCTGAAAACCGGAACGGAACCATTGCGCTCAATACTGGCTTCCCAAGTGCCACTGCTATCAAATACTGTATAGAATCAATAGTATCATCTCAAAACATGAAAATGCACCGGGGCACTTAATAAAACCATTTGTCTCTGGTTATTTAACATAGCCATGGAAAATGACCCATTTATAGATGGTTTACCTATTAAAAATGGTGATTTTCCATGGCAAGCTGTTAAATAACCAGATGGTATCAATGTGGTAAACCCTGGCTGCCATAAACCTACCGGCGATGGGCTCAATCCCACTGCAAAAAAACATTGTCATTTTGGGATGGTAAAACCGGCATTGGGTGGGCACCACCTTATGTCCAAACAATTGCCACATTGATTAGTTATTCGTTATAATCCCATTACCATTTATTTATGTTTAATTACCATACTATAACAGTATTCCCTATAGTCCCTTAAATGGTGGATTAACCAAAGGATTATGAAGGATTATCATCCCATCGAACGCTGCCAGGTCGCTTCTGGTGCTCTCTACCAGCTGCGTTGCGTGCAGAGCGGCGCCAGCTGTGCACGCGTCAATGTGGCGGTGGCGCTGCAGGGTGAGAAGGCGTTGGGGGAGCCCAACGTTGAAACCTTGAGCACTGTTGGGGTGGGGCTGGTCATAGGTGGGGGTTAACCCGAAAAAAGTGGGGGTTCACCAACCTAAAAAATTGGTCTTGTCAAACTAACCTAGATTTAATATGGGAAATGGTAACATCAGAATCAATAGTATGGATTTAATGAGGATATATTTATACTTAAAAATATAACCAACTATATCCAATTTGGAAATGAAATTTTGTTTTGGGGAAAATGGTGATTATGTAACCACTGAATGGAATGGGGCACCCTATTTTCAGACCAAACCCGGATCTACATGACATGGTTAGTATTTTCGAATTAAGGACGAGATATGGTCCATATGGTGATTTATATTGACATAGATAGATGGATAGTGATGAATAAATATAGATTGCAATGTGGTCAATATGGTTACCGGGTGATCTCACAGTTGTTCTCGGATCTTGATCCCACCGGGAAACGTTGGGATTTCTTCAGCAAACATGGATATTGATGGAAGAAACCATAAAATGTCCATACGGCGCCTGCAACTCGTGAGCGGTAGAGAAAAACTAGCCTGGTTGATGAATTCACGGAGTATCATTTCTACTTTGTGATAGATGTTTGTTGGAAGGTATGTTTATCAACCGACTGGGGCATAGTCACATAGCTATCATCAAAGCCATTGTGTCCAGGATTGCAGCAATTTGAGAAGGAAGTAGCACTTTGCTGTTCTGCTGGATAAAATCAATCGTGCCAATAAAGCCACTGATAGCTGAAATGTGTCAATAAAAAGATGTGGAGTGAAGCGAGGTGTTTTGTCTCCGAAATCCGCTTCTCTGTATGGATTTCACAAACAACGCTTGGATTTCACCAACAGAGATGGATGTTGAACTGGCGAAAATTGAGGTTTAAGTCTTTGTTTTCTTGGGATGCTATCTATGTGCCATGGTCAAAAGATGGATTTTATACCCATATCTGGGTATGGGTCAAAATTAGGTACCCCAATAATTGGATGGTGAATACTAAACTAGACATTCACATTTGTGGTCCCCTAGGTCTTCCATTTTGACCCACATCCATTTACCCATATTGGGGAAAGGTCATCAATCCATTTCCAGAAAGGGAATTCTTTTTCCCCATTCTGTTATGATTCCCATAATGCCCTTCGCAACGGATGACTGGATGACCACCCCCCAATACCATCTGGTTATGACTAACATAGCCATGTTTTTTCGATGGCCCTAATCGAAATAGATGGTTTACCGTTCTTAAAAATGGTGATTTTCCATGGCAAACTGTTAAATAACCAGATGGTATACTATCTAACTTGACCATCAATATATGTGATACGTGATGATATGGAGGTGTCCTAAACCCAAATCATCCAAGAGGATCGACCATTAATTCTTGTCTTGAAACCTTTGCGAAGACTTGGGCATCCCCCATTTTAAGAAACCCCCGTATGATCCCGTATGTGTATATAAGTGTTTCGTTTTAGCAGGGCATCTTTTTTCGTCACATCAGCTTTGAAGTTACACAGTGTCAACAACTAAGCCATTGACAATGTTTACCCTCCAGTAAACTAACATAGCTATGGAAAATGACCCATTTGAGGTGATTTACCTCTTAAAAAATAGTAATTTCATGTAATTTCCAATAGCTATGTTAGTTTGCCAGAGTGTATACATATAATTTCCAACAGCTATGCTTACCATTCCCTTTTATCGCAGGTTTATAGCTTTGGGTTCACCCCATTAGGGTTTTTTGGGTTGGAAACACCATGATACGGGGAATTCATTGAATGATCATTGGTTGGTTAGAATAGGGGATTTCACTACTTAATTTATTGGGGATACTATTATTGGGGATGATGATACTTAATAATTACCCTCTGGTTATTTAACATAGCCATGGAAAATCACAATCTTTAAGAACGGTAAACCATCTATTTCGATTAGGGCCATCTATACCATGGCTATGTTAGTCATAACCAGAGGGAAATGATTATTGGGGATGATGATAAGCCATAGGGATACAGTTCACGACCCACCAGCCCCATGGGATGGGAGAGGTATTTTTTCATGGCGAAAACAGCCCTGGTGATTGGTTATGAAACAGGATGTTTTACGAAAAACTGCCTGGTTTATTGACGTTTATTGGGATAGCTAGTAACCAATCATGATTTCACGGGAAGGGATATGATGATATGGGTATTTTTTAAAGGCTCATATGTTTTAACATACTTGAAAATGGTTGGTGCCGCAGGTCGTTTGCTAAGTTGGTGCAAAAATTCCAACTGTTTGGTTTATGGATGTAACCATGGTACGTAGATATATCTCTACTGTATAATAGTTAAAGGGTGCTATTCACCAACAAGCATAACTGTTGGGGGCCTGCATCACCTTGTAGAAATGCCCATTATTGTCACATTGTCACTCTAGGCGCTGCAGTGCTCCCTCGACTTCTGCACACGCTTCATACAAGCAGCTTTAGTTCGCAAGCTTGTAGATGCGATGTTCGCACCATGTGACAGACTTTGCCAAGCGCCATTTGGATATGGATCAAGATACCCTCTGGTAAACTGTCCACATAACTATGGAAAGATCCACCATTTTCAATGGGTAAATCCACTATTTTGACTGGGCATGACTGGGCCATTTTCAATAGCAAACCGCTAGTCATTACCAGAGGCTATTGCGCCCGTCAAGATGACCAGGTTACCAGAGGGTCATGCTGATTCCCAAAAAAGTCTCATGGTTGGTAAAAAAAAAAATCCATGACAATTGAAGCCATGGCCATCGAAATGTCGTGACTTTTCCCATTAATAGCATGGTGATTTTCCAGTTCGTTATGTAAGCCCGTTTACCAGGCCGGGTAATATTCATGACTATTGACCTTGCACGCATTTGAAGAAGAAATAGTTCAAAAGAAAACTCGCATAACAGGAATTTCCAGCCACCTACTCCTTGCATGTTCAACCTGGAGAGATCTGGAGATGTTCGGCTCCCGAGCCATGCTTTTCCCATGGCGATAAACGAGGCGACGTTGGAGGACAAGATCCGTTTGGGACGAGATCTGTGTGGTGAAAAACTGGTCGTATCCCAGGAAAACATGGGAAAACCAGCTAAAGAAACTATGATAACTATGGTTTAACTATGGTATATGGATGTTGATGGGGCATGTAACATGAAACTATAGTTCATACAGGCTTTATATAGAACAACTTACTGAAAAAAACTGGGCCGGAGAATCTCGCAGGTCATCTGGCCTGGGTCTCAATTGAGTTCAAGTCATGGAGGTTTCCGTTTTGTCATGGGGGTACCCCCATTTTCATCATCCATTTATAGATGGGATTTTCCATGTATAAGCCACCCAGGATGATGAAAAATCCCATCTATAAATGGATGATGAAAATGGTGGTACCCCCATGACGAAACGGAACCCCTCATATGACCTGGAGGATTAATATGATTAGCAGCTGATTCGCAAGCGGCTTTTTTTGTATTTCCATGATCCTCGCTTTAATCTGATAGAGGATCATTGATAAAAATATTGTGGGACATAAGATCATATTAAGAGGACCATAATGAGGATCATTAATCAATATTATGATCCTCTTAATAGTATAAGTGTTTTTTTTATAATTGGTATATGATTCGCAAGTGGCTGATTTCCCATATGGGACATGTCATGTTGTTGTTTTTTTCTCCCAGTGGATCCCTGTGGATGGTCATTTGGATCAGCAGGATCGTGAACCAAAAAAAACGGTTGGTTGATGACTATAGGAGCTTATACCGGGCTGGTTGATGATCATCGAGCTAAAACATGCTAAAACCATGTGGATGATCATCCCCTATATCACATCCTTTAAGATGATCATCCACATGAGATATAGGGGATGATCATCAAGGATGTGGGAATCCCGTTACCAATTGATTTGGAAAAACAGGGCTCTTTTGAACGCGCCGAAAATTTGTGAACGCAACCACGAGGTCACAAGAAAGGATGACTGTGATTGAAGAAACGCGGGGAGCGTCAAAGATGGTGTTCAATCAGTGGGGGGGAGTTTCATCATTTCTTGAAATATTACGGTATTGCTTGGAGTCAAGCACAATATCAGTAGTTTCAAACACATTCAGTTGGTTGATTACCATTGTGGTTATACTGCCCCCTACTATCATACCCCAATAAGCGGGAATTCCCATGTTCGCCAGCGATCCCAAAGGATTTTGGATCCGGTTTTGACACTTTTCACAGTTGTTTTGAAGGTGTGTAAGTCCACCGACGTGCCAAAACGTGATTGATGTCGTATGACTTACCACTTAGCTAGGTTAATCTTAGATGGGTACTTTAATCCTTTAGTCTTTTGGTATCAATGGGAATATCTACTAACCAGCAAAGAATTTAATTTTTTGCAGGGCATCTAAGATTGGCAATGTTAAAGTGCCTAATTCTAAGCGGAGTTTGGGTGCCTTGCCAGCCCTGAGCATAGTCATACACATCCAGCTTGGCAAAAAGATGGTGAGTCTACTAACACTGGTTTGCGTGTTGCAATTATCTTTGATTTTTAAAAGTGGGGTGATGGTCCCAAGCTGAATTTCACCTTTTAGGATGGAGTGAATGCAAGAACCAGTATAACCAGTTCAGCAGGGGACGGTTGCAAAGCGCAAAGTCGAAATCTTACAGAGTGCGGCTGATATCTGTATCTTGCTTGCTAATTCCCATTGCCATTATTTTCCAGAACTTTTGTCGGTCAGACCATGTGAGCAGTGACCAAAATCCTTTAGATAAGGGATGAAACCTACCTGGTTTATCTGGATTTTTTCTGAACCATTATGGGAACTCCTATCAATTAAACCATGTAAAAAGACGACGTTGAGGGTTTTGAATACATCATCAACCAAGCATCATTTACCTGTATATCCCCATGCATTTTGATTGCCCAGACCTCATGTGGCTGATGGTTCAATCCCCTCCCTTCAACCCTTTTCTGGTGCTCAAACATCTTCAAAACCCAGTTGGTTTTTGTTGGTTGAATCCTTATTCTTGGCTTAAAAAAGGCTGTGACCACCAAAAATCACCACCCAAAATACTGAAAGATTGGTGACGGAGGTTGTTTTCCCAAAAATAATCACCTGAAAAGGACCTGCTTGGTCGAGAAAATGAGCTGCGATGGCTCCTGAGTTTCTTGGATAGATGGCTGTGATTGCTGTGATTTTTTGGTCGTTACGTGAAAATGAATACAAGGTGGGCCCCCCTAGGTAAGCGGCTTTTTAAGTAGGCTAACCGGGGTTTATGTTCGATAGAACTCTGGTTATAGATAGGTGTACAATTCAACTTATAACTGGGGGCACTATTTCGTGAACATCCCGAGTTCCAAAGGATCAGAATGATTTGAAATTACCCTCTGGTAAACAAACGTATTGAAAATGGCCATGAAAAAAGTGGATCTTCCCATTAAAAATGGTGATTTTCCATGGTTATGTAAACGTTTACCAGAGGGTAATGTTCACCATGAAAAGCCAGGACTTGGGGGTATTACCATGTATTAGCCCTCTGAAACAAGACCAGTAAAATGTTCCCATGGACCAAGGTTATGTCACGGCCGGAGAAAATCAAGTGCCTTGGTCGAGATCATTTGGGGGGTTTCTGGGATGGTTATAAAAGGCTTGGGCCGTGACTCTGACATCATTTTTTGGGCCGTGACTTGGGAAATCTTGGGACACTTTTAACGTTAAGGACCTGGTAGTTGTTGTGTCTTTTTTTTACCAGGTCCCGAGGATTTCGCTTGATATTTGCCAAGCTTGGAAATCAGAGTGGGAAATCTTGGGGCATGTTTTTGTGATGATTGCAGACTTGCATCGAAGAAAAGGTATCCAGAACCCTGAAGTGTGTAGTCAGGAACTGTAGTTCTTCTCATGTTTGCCCATATTTCTCTCAAAAAAATGAGTCAGGAATCATGACTGAACAAATCACTTAAATGTGCATCCCAGTGATTAAGTGGGTCATAATTATATTCTACCCGGAGCTATGGATTATTAGCATTTTTTACTCTAGATGGGTCCCCAAAAAAGTTTGAACCATTTTTCCAGGATGTGAAATCGATGATGTTTCCTCCTCAGATTTGAAGGAGAACATTACCACTATTTGGATCTATGGTAATGCATGGTGAGTGGATATATGCCAGTTTCAGAGCTTAACCACTTAGCCTCCAGTTACCCTCCAAACATGGCTAGCTGGAAAGCTCGATTTATAGATGTTCCCAGCGAAGATTCACCTCCATTCTTGACGGGGAGTTCCCAGCGACTACGTTTGATGACACCAGCAGTAACCATTTAACATTTGTCATCCATTATTGTTGGATATTGTTGATTATATTGTATTGCCAACCATTACTGGCCACTATTAACCATTATTAACATCTATTAACCATAGATCAACAGCCATTTTCCATAGCTACTGTGAATGGTTGCGAAATCCTGCACCAGTTGATAGCTGGTTCATCCCATTATTGGTAGGGTTTCAACATGTTTCAGCCATCCAAGGTGGTGCAGGATTTTTTCCATCCACAGTATGTTCAATACCCGGAGGGTAACATTCAGGTCAACGTGGTCAGCCGGGGCCGTGATGCCCTCAATCTGGGCTCGTTCCTCTTCAGCCAATCGTCCTTTCTAAGGCCCGGGTTGGGGTTGGATGGATACGGACCAACCAGCAAAATCTAGGGTTAATTGATGTTAATTAGATGTAATCTATATCATATTATATGATATGATATGATGTTACATTTCATTTTATTTCATTATATGTTTTTATTATGCTATATTCTGTTATGTTGTATTATACTACACTATTTTTAATGATAATTTACTACATTATACTATATTATACTATATTATACTATATTATACTATATTATACTATATTATACTATATTATACTATATTATACTATATTATACTATATTATACTATATTATACTATATTATACTATATTATACTATATTTTGCTATATTATACTATATTATACTTTATTATATTATATTGTATTATATTGTATTGTATTATATTATGTTATATTATGCTATATTATATTGTATTATTTTAAATGATGTTATGTTATATTGAGTCATATTATGCTATATTATACTATATTGTATTATACTATATTATTTTACATTATATAATGTCATTTTATAACATATACTATATTATGTTTTATTTTTTATATTATTTCTCATATTATATTATATTATATTATATTACATTACATCATATTATATTATTTTGTATTATAGTGTATCATGTTATAGTATATTGTATTATGTTATATTATGTTATACATTGTTATATTATTTTATTTTTGTAGTATATTATATTATATTATTCATTATTTTATCACATTATATTGGTTTTCATTATATCATATTATGTTATACCTTATTTTATTTCATTGTCTAGTTTTTGGTATTACATAGTTTTTCTTATTTATTACATATTATATATTTTTTTTATATTAGATTGAAGGACCTCGAAACAAGCTCGCAATAAATGGGTTTGTCTGAAAATGGGGTGTATCCCCCAATGGCATCCAATTGCCATTTAGATAGTGATAGTGATGATCAACGATGGGTTTAGCGGTACCATATTTTCAGAGAAACCCAAATGATGCTTTGTACAGGGAAATGATCCCCGAAAATGGCGTTCGATCCAGTTGATGAATTGCAACAAATTCTCCAGAAATATATCAAATAAATTCAAATTATAGGAATGCATAAATTGGGGATGAGAAAAAGTTGGATGATTCATCGTGGTAGGTCCTATCCTCTTTGCTTCGATGAATCCACTAGATTTTGATCTTACGGATGTGACATTCATAGAATATTCACATGAATCCACTGGGATATTTAATGGAATGTCACATCACTAATATATTCACTAATATCACTAATATTCATAGAATATTCATAAGATAATCCACCATTTTTGGATCATTTTCGCTCAACCTCCATGGCCTCGGGGATTTCCATCAGCGATTTCGATGGTCGACCATCAGCTTGACATTCACTGGACAGCCCTTAGAAACGTGATTCGTGGGCGTATCTGCAAATACATCCAGAATTTTCGATCTTGCAGAAAATATGATACCCTCTGGTAAACATACAAAAAGCTATTGAAAGTGGCCATTTATAGTGGATTTACCTTTTAAACATGGTGATTTTCCTTAGTTACGTTAGTTTACCAGAGGGTAATCAATATGAATCCATCATCAACTTTGCTGCTACCATATTTTCAGACTCATGTATAACTCGAAGATTATAAAGAATATGCATGGACCACCAAGTTGTATAATCTCAAGCCCGGATGAAACAAAACATCCGGACGGCTCCACCTACAGGAGCGTACAGAGCTGTTTGGCCACCAAGCAACTCCCTCCAGTTATTGTGGAAGGCGAGATGTGTAAACCACGTGTGAAGATGGGGTGGAAAACATAGGACCTAAATGAGCAGTGCTTGCTAAACCCAACAATAAAGGGAAATATTTTGATGGGATATATATATATATATATGTATATTGTATATAATTGGATATAGATGGGTATGAGATATATATATATAGCAAAAAAATAGATTTAGCTATCAGAAATGTGGACTTAACATGGTTTAACCAATTGAGCAGTGTTCAAAATCAGTGTTGGCTGATGATTAGCTCGGGGATTATACTAGTTACTCATCAATCTTGGGAATATCACGAGAGGAATACCGTTATCAAGTACAAATGGACGAAACTTGGACGTTTTATTGGGAAAAAGATGAGAAAACAATGGATTATGGTGATACTAGTGGTGATGTTGTAGGGATTGACTAACAAAAAAATGTAGCTATAATGAGGATATAGTTGGGATATATAGTAACCGTCCATAGTGGGAACTTGATGGGGAGATGATTCAGGAAAGATCTTATGACCAGCCGAAAGAAACATCCAAGACAGTGCCAATCCAGCTTCGGCTCTGGCTCTGTGGGCGCTAATCCTCAACTTCTTCAACGACTTTTTCTTCATTGCCCATATTTTGCTGGGATATTCCCTTACAATAGGCCTGAAAAAAGGCCTTATATATGGTAGGTACCTTCAATTTAGGTTCCTAACATGGCCATTGATCTGGTAAACATACAAAAAACTATGGAAAATCACCATGTTTCATGGGTAAATCGACTATAAATGGCCATTTTCAATAGCTATTTTAGTTTACCAGAGGGTAATCATATTTGCACAGAAACATCCTGATATCAAACAAAACAAAGATATCCATCGAAGCCCCATCCAGGTGAGCCGGGCGTCGGCCGCACAGCACTTCTGGAGGCCTCTGATGCACCAAAAGGTAAAGTCCCCTGGAAAAACCGTAGGAAAATATTGATGTATCCAACAAAATCAGTGGAGTTAATGCAGTGAATGGGATTCATAGCTGGCTACGATGGGAATGGATACAAAGGGAAAATAAATGGGATATCCCCAACCATATGGATACAATATAAATGGGAATATAATGGATACAAAGGGAATATAAATGGGATATCCGAACCACAAATGGGATAGAATGGGAATCTAATGGGTCTAGATTTGGAACAGATAATGAATTCATCGAAAAAATGTAAAGATTTGGATTTGACCAAAAATTGGAGGATCAACCAGGACTGGAGATGAAAACAACAACAACAACAACAAAGTGAAACAGAGTGAAACAGAGTGAAACAGAGTGAAACAGAGGTCGAGACTGCCCTTGAACTCGCCTTCGATGAACATCATGAGTTGTCAGGAGACCTGAACTACTCCTACCTTGGAGGAAATGCAGGTATGGCAGCCAGGACCGTCCTGGCCAGCGGCCCTGGATTGACAATGTTCGCCATTTCTCAAGGCCAAAGACTACTTCCCGGCGAGGTTGCGGCTTGCCATGGCAGAGGCGGCAGAGGAAAAAGCCTCAGATTCAGCGGAGAAGGGATCGCAGCCTCAGGTATCAACATGTGTTCTCCGGGGCCAGGATCTACTATGAAGCAGGGTGCGGGGGCGCAGCGTTGGAAGAAGGGAGGGATGGATGTCAATGTGGCACAGCGTGGCAAGCAGTGCGAACGGTGAGTGAGACTGCCAAGAGTGGGTCCAGACTCCTGAGGCAGTGGAAAGCGATGCACGAAAACGCGATGGTCGAAGCGGAGCAGGATGATGGGCCGCGGCCACCGGAAGGCGTGCGGGCTGAGTAGTGTTGGACGGTGTACTGTGGCAGCACTACTTGGATGAAAATCGAGGGGCGCGGGGCAGCTCCGGAAGCAACGCCACAATGAACAACACACATGGCGGGGCAGCTTCGGAAGCAATGCCGAACTCTGATTCAGACGCAAGTCATTTTCTCAAAAACGATAGATGTAATTTTTGTAACGATGTGGCTACGGGTCATGTCATCCTGTACCCCACAGATTGCGGCGGGCTGTTTGGAAGTGGCTACCTGGAGGTGGTTGCCAAATCCTACGAAGGGTGGGTATAATTGATAACGTCACTGCATTGGTTGGGCTGATATCGGATCCTTGGTGAAGGTCGTACATATGTGATGGTTATCCCAGTATATCTTTATGATTTCCCTGCCCCTTCAGTGCCCGTTACATTCCAATATATATATATATATATGTGTATATGTCCCATCAAATCGAATTTCCAATAGAAATTCCGCACATTATTGGTCAAAAATGCCACGTTCCATGAGTTATATGCGCTTTCTATACCCAATATGATGAAACCTTCGACTTTGAGGATCATCCCACGAATGGGATAATCCACCGATTTTTCGGGGAGGAACCCCCAAAATATCCGGCTTCTGAAAACCGCATACCCTCTGGTTGATTATATTACATATATTTAGCCATGGAAAATTGTCGCTAAATCATTGGTTACTATCATTGGTTACTAAACAGGCCATTCCCCATAGCAACTGCTAAATTATTTCATAAGGTTTTTTAGCTCACGACTAAGTGGGATGATCCTCCAACATCCTCCAACTTGGAAGTTCCACTTACAAAAATTGGAGATGTTCAGGTGCCATGAAAATGTACCCTCTGGTTATTTAACGTAGCCATGGAAAATCACCATTTTTAATAGGTCAACGGTCAACCATCTATAAATGGGCCATTTTCCATGGCTATGTTAAATAACCAGATGGTAGCCCTCGAAATAAAGTACGCCAATTGCCGGGTTTATGAAAACAGCATGTCAACATGAAAACCATAGTTACCAGTAGTACCGCACAAGGCGGTGGCAGAAGTTTCAAGGATAGGACACTATAGGAGAGGTGAGTTGTTGTGATGCATGGATGGCAGAGCGAATCCACTGATGGACCGAAAGGTGGTTGGAGTTGTGTTTTTTGGAATGGCTGCAATGGTTGCAGTGGTCACCTCACCCACAACTGCTGGATGTAGTGTGGTGTAGTCCAGTTGTAGTTGTAATTGTAGTGTAGTGGAGTTGTAGTTGTAGTGTAGTGCAATTAGTGTAGTTCAGCCGTAGTTGCGGTTGCAATTGTAGTGTGGTGTAATTAGTGTAGTGTAATGTAGTCTACTGTAGTGTAGTTTACTGTAGGTTGTGTACTGTAGTGTGGTGTAGTCTAGTATAGTCTAGTCTAGTGTAGTGCGATTGTAGCTGAAATGTAGTGTAATTAGTGTAGTTGTAGTGTAATGTCGTGTAGTTGTAGTGTAGTGTAGTGTGGTGTAGTGTGGTGTAGTGTAGATTAGTGCACTTAGTGTAATGTAGCGTAATGTGCGTAGTGTAGTTGTAGTTATGTTGTAGTTGTAGCTGTAGCTGTAGTAGTAGTTGTAGTTGTAGTGTAATGTGTGGTGCAGTGTAATTAGCGTAGTGTATTGTAACGTAGTATATTTGTATTTGTAGTCGTAGTGTGTGTATTGGTTGTTATTGTTGTTGTTGTTGTTGTTGTCTATCTGTTTATCTGTTTATCTGCAAGCTTGAAAACGAAACTATTCTGCGAGACTTGCTTAATTTTTGAACTTGACAACGTCAAAAACGAAGGAAATCTGCGAGGCTTCCTCAAGTTTTGAAGTTGACAACATCAGAAACGACGCAATTCTGCGAGACTTCCTTCAAAAATGGAAAGTTGAGTGCAGAGCAGACGGCCTCGTACCAATGCTTGTTGCAATTTTTCCATTCCATCTGTCTAAAGTATTGCGCTTGCCACGAAAAAGTGCGGCCAGGTCATACGAAGTGCTGCACCTGTCACGCAAAATTATCTTAACAAACCTCAAGATCTGATGCTCCAAAATGCAACCTCTCTCAGGACATCTGCGCCCTGACCCCGCAACATCTCTGATGAACAAGTCTCTTGCACCGCGCTGCCACGCGAAACATCTTTGCAGATCCTCTTCAAATGTCCCACGCCTGCCAACGTTTTTGAACTGCTACAAAATCCTCACATTTTTCTCAATTTTGGCAAGGTACCGAATTCCTTGCGCCCACGCAAAACCACATCCTAACTTCCAAAAGTGGCCCGAGACCGTCAGTTTTTAACAGGTTTGACTTCGAAATGTGCTTCGCGCCACAACGGCGTGCACTTTTTGAAGATCTCAACTTCCAAAAGTGCTCCGAAGCTGGTGTGTTTTGTACATCTTGACTTGGATTTGCGCTTCGCGCCACAACGGCATGCACTTTTTGAACATCTCAACTTCCAAAAGTGCTCCGAAGCTGGTGTGCTTTGTACATTTTGACTTGGACATGTGCTTCGCGCCACAACGGCGTGCAGCTTCCAAAAGTGCTCCGAAGCTGGTGTGCTTTGTACATTTTGGCTTTGAAATGCGCTTTGCGCCACAACAGCGTGCAATTTTTCATCTCTCATCTGGCCACATGGCTCCGCACCCGCCGCTTTAGGGAGCCTACTTTTGGACCCTCCGGAGCCACATATCATTGGAAAAACACAGTGTTCCGCGACTTTTTCTACCTTGTCGCGCACCTACATCTTTCTTCTGACTCTTTCTCTTCTCTGATCTTCTCTTTTCTTCTCTTCTCTGACTCTTCCCACCTCTGCTTTTTCATCTGTCCATATTGTCGGAAGTTTGACTTCTAAACTTCCTTCAATCATACTTACTATATTTATATATGTATATGGACTGATGGAACAATGAGTATGAAATAGTTCAACTCACTTAACTGCAATTGGATAGCTGTAACAATTTTAGAACCATACAAAAGTTATGTTATATAACCTCCAACTTGGTATCCCCCCACCAGGCAGCTGCTCGGCTCTCTGAGAATTTGCCCGGTCTGCGTGTGGTGCAGCAGCGCGGCGGCACGGCCTGCGAGCAGCTGCGGCGCCTCTACGACCCTTGGGCGCAGCGGTGAACGGAGGGGGAGATGTCCAAAAATGGTGGTTTTTTCCTGGCAAAAATGTGGATTTCAATCACCTACTCCTTAGAATTCCTAAAGGGGGGTAAGGTCTGCCTAAGTAGGCAATTTTTACACCTCCCCACTCCATATAGTAGAATATATATATATAATATGCCTTCATTTCTTGTTGTTTCAAATTCATGTTGGGTGAGATCGCAATGTTGACACTCAACTCCATATATGTTGTCCATTGTTATCCATTACTGTTGGTGTTCACAAAATATGTTCTTCGGAATTACAGGAAAGGGTCTCCAATTTAAATTGGTTTACAAACCCGTCTGATAGATCTATCTTGTGAACATCTATAAACACAATTTCCCCCAAGTACAAACCAGTTTATCTATCATAAATCAACTATGAATCCCCATGTTTGATAGTTAAACCATGTTATATAAATCCTCATATGTGGTTTTATAGATTTGGTGATTATAGCACCAAATCATGATATAATAATGATAATATTAATAATATATAAATCAACTATTATATCATCATTTACTTTGTTTTTTGGGAGGCCTTCCTTGGCCCCTTGGTGTCTCAGGATGGTATCGATGAGGCTCCGGGCCGGAATCCAGGTTGGATTTCGTCAAGAATCGGATTCTTAACCAGCAAAAATATGGGTGTGTTTGGAAATGTTGAGAAAAACCCAAGATTTTATTTTTTATGGTTTACGAAGCGTTGGCATTTTGGAGTAATTACAACTGATAAACCACTTTCAGACTATTTCAGACTTCAGACGATGGATGTAGCCGCGGCCAAAACGATGTCAGAAGCACTGTACGATTTCACCATTGAGCACCCGCTGGACCGATGGCAGCAGTCGTTGCGACTCCGAACCTAACACGTTTACTTTCGATGGCAATATGGAGGTTTCCTGAAATAGGGGTACCCCCAAATCATCCATTTTATTTATAAACCATCCATTTTGGGGTACCTCCTTGGTTTGGAAACCCCCATATGGCCGTATAATATGGTACCATTCGATTCACCGCACAAAGCTGCGAGCCGGCCCGGCCGTTCTGCAGCTTTCCGACGAAGATCAGTCCCCGGACAGTTGCGCCTCATAGTGCAACCTGCAAGATGGTGCCCCCTAGTTATAAATTGATTTATTAACTCCATTTATAGCACGTATAAACCATAGTTATTGGAGTTATAAACCAACTGTGATGGTTGCAAGTCGGTTTTCATTACCTTCTGTTTCTTTTTGGGCATGATCGAGGCAGCATTTGAGAAGCGAAGTTTGTAGATTGATAAAACTACCAACTATTGTCGACTATAGCTTAGGGGATGCAACATAATGCCACCTTCAACGGGAATTTTCAAGAAGAAATGTTTTAAGGTGGGATGGCCGCGGCAAACGATAACGTCCTCCTTTCAAACAATCGATGTTTTTGACATGCTGCACAATAGGGGAGAGGTTTGTTCCGTGGTGCACACGATATTGGATGGTCCACTGGTCCACTTGGGTGCTCAAAAATATGTATACCAAAACAAATTGATATTTGATACTATGTAAGGGAATATCCCAGCAAAATACGGCCTTATATGGTACAGTACCTCCATTTTTTTATGAAATAGTTTAAATACCATACTATGCGGGCATGTTAGCCCGTGGTGCTATAGAATTTGGTTCGGTAAATACAATTACTATGTGGGCATGTTGCTACCCCGTTTTTGGGCCGTGGCCACTTTCATAGCGAGCTCCAAGTTTCGAAGTGCCGGAGGTGATCATTTACCATGTGGTGGTTTTGGAAAATCATCCTTTTTGATGGGCAAATATCGGTGAATCATCTTTAAATCTGAAGATAAGTGGACCACAGCTGCCATAGCTATGTGAAAAATGACCGGAGGGCAGGATTGATGGAGCTTGTTCTGTCTCAACTGAGGCCTTGAGATTGGTTGGCTGTTTCAAACAAAGATTAATAGACTTCAGGAAGCGATGTATTGCAGGTACCCATCATATATATATACATATATATATCATATAATCATATAATTTTGGCCTATTTGTAAGGGCTAACGGGATATGCCCCCAATTTCTATTCTATGGGTTTAAGATGGTACGAAGTACCTCCATTTTAGGGTCTTGAAATTCTCACTGATTGATTTTCTAAGGGGGGTTGGTACTGAACACTACTGGTACCAGATGGGTTTGGTGAGCCGATGATTTGTGAAGCAATTCATGGAGGAATTCTCTATGTCCCGGAATCAAGTTGTTTAAGTTTAAGAAGCCAGGTCAATATTGATGGTGAACAAACAGTTAAAGGGATGGTGACTCAGAGGCTGGCTAACGACATCTAGGTGTTTAGTTGCTTAAGTCATAACTCACTCACTTTGATGGTCACAAGATCACATATTTGCTGCGGTTTCAGCACCATTTTTTGCGGTTCCAAACCCAAGTTTGGCCAGTTAAATCTATCATGTGCATTGATGAAATCCCCAATTCGGGATGGTCTCAATGGAAAATCTCAACTTCTGGTTTTTCATGCCTCAAAATGTGTTGCTTAAATTGGTATCTTAAACATTTAACATCAACAAACCCACATTATTGGCTGGCTAAATCCCTCATTTTTGCTGCTTAGTCAGCCGCCACTTACGCAGGTGACGGATGAGGAACTTCTGATGATGCCCGTGATCAGCAATGCGAGCCAGTCGCTTGGGAAAAAGGCAGATTCCGTAGGGTGGCAGCACCAAAATGGAGGTGTCCTAAGTCATGGGACCCCCAAATCCAAAATCGAAGCCTATGGTTTTGGGGATACCGCCATTTTCTCCATCAGATGTGGGTTGTACCGAGAAAAATCTTGGTGTTGTCCCAGAAAATATGGGTGTTACCAGCCCAAGAGGGTGGATACGGGGGATCCAACCACGTAAAAACTCACATCAGTCGGTTGACCAAAGTTGTTGTAGATTTTTCACGGTGGACCGGGGTAAAAGCCCCTACAACGGTTAGGCTTATGGAAGGTGAGAATCCTGGCAACTTGACCAAATTCTTTGGGGGGTTCTGCTGGGCTATTCCCCCAGCCATAGAGATACAGTGGATGGGCCAGCGAAATCCGAATCACCACTTGATAGGTGGTGCACATCCCATTATTCTCTTTGGGCTTTAACCATCCTTTTGGTGGTGCAGGATTTCGCTGGCCCATCCACAGTAGTGAAGTGATCCGAGTGGCAACTGATGGTAACTGGCATTCTGCTAAGCATGGTACAATATGACTGCCAGGACTAACCCGAAGCAGATGTTTATATATATATATATATTCATTGGATTCCCAGAATTATCACTGGTTGGTGGTTTGAAGCATTTTTCCATATATTAGGAATGTCATCATCCCAACTGACTTTCACTCATATTGGTGTCTGGAGCTGACTTGTCAAACTCCCCTTGGGAGGCTGGAGTCCAAGCGGCTGTGGCTGTGAGAGACGGAGATGCTGCGCAGACCATGGTTGTGCAGTTCGACGCGAGCACTTCCGGGCTCGCAGACGGAGTCGCTGCCTACACTGGCACCACGATTTCTCAGTACCCTCACCACGTGGAAAGGTACGCGCAGGCCACCCATGGCAACATTGGAGACATCGTGACGATCAACGGCGTCAGAGGCCCAATTTTGAGGATCATGGCCAGAGACAGGTGTATGAACAATACAGCCCATGCAATCTGGGCCCTTGTGGTTGGCAGGGGCGGTGCGGCCACCTTACACATGGTTCCACCCGGTGTCCCAAGCCCGGGATACGGGGAGGGTGGATACCCCGCTTCTGCAATCCACGGGGCCACTGGGGACATCCGGGGGGTAGTGGCACACGTCCCAAATGACTTGATGGAGGAGATCGGCGTGGACCAAGAGTGCGGGTGGCTACCCAGCGGGAACGTTGGACTCCAAGAAACCCAAATGCCAAAACTCAATCACCTGTGCACCCAACCGGCGGTGATCATAGGGGCTCCTTTGCCGGCAGCGGGGTTGTCGATCCTGACCGAAGACATCCTGAGCGCTGCCACAAACGGCTCTGCTGGTGGGGGTTGGTCTGTGGCGGCCATCCGGAGGGACAGCCGTGTGTTCCACTTGAGGAAGCAAGACATCTGGAGGACATGGAACACCGGCTCTGGCTGGAGCCCAGGTGTGAATCATCCCTTGTATACGAACGACAATGCCCTGAACGGTTACATCTCTACCACCCGCCAGGAGATCGCAGATGTTCTTGGGTTGGCAGTCGTACCAGCCGGGGATGCCAGGATCAATGAGGCAGCTTGTGCGAACCTTGCAGGAGTTGTGCAGAACTTCGCCCTCAAGGTGCCAGGGTGGCCTACATCAGGGATGTTCTTCAAGACAGGGCCGCATTGAACACGGAAGCGGACCCCGCACCTGTCACAGAGCCCTTCAGGATGCTTCCACGCACAGCCCAACGAGGCAACCTGATTGCAAAGGCAGTACGTGTGGTGTCAATACCGCCCTCCATGACCCCAGCACCTGTCGTTGAGCTGGGGGTAGTGCAGAGGACTGGTGGATTGCCCACAGAGGCGGGGCGGGACGGTGCCATCGCGATGCTGAGAACTGCGACAATGGCCTACGTGTTGTCCATCTCCCTCCCTGCCAGGCGCAGGGCAGATGTCGTGAACGAGATGGCAGCACTCAATTGCGCCTGCTGCGGAGCATACCCGAAGGGAGTCGATGCAATGGGGCCTGGATTTCAGGCACGCATTCTCGCACATGCCCTGTCCGTGTTCGGCGTTGGGACCTACCTCTAGGCCGTTTATACTTATTCTACTTTAAGTAACTTAAAGCTAGTTAAGCTAGTTATTGTCTACTTATGTTAACTTATGTTATAATTTAAATTTGAATCTTAACATAAGTATACATAATTATTTATAAGTTACTTATAAGTAGAAATAAGTAGATTTAAGTAGAAATAAGTAGAAATAAGTAGAACGCTTATTTTTCCTTTGTTTTTTGTTTTTTTTGGAATTTCACTAAATTCCTTGAATTTTTGTTTTTTTTTCGAACACATTGTGCAAATTGTCTGCGCTCTTCTTGGGAAGGCAATGTGTACAGAGGCATTGAACATTTGCAGTTCATTACTATTATTATGAGCGGCCATACCGCTCAACCAAAGCAAACGCAGCAACAGAGAATTGAAAGCAGAAAGAACATCATGGAACCCACAAAGCAAAAAAGAACCACAATCAGCCTTCCAAAAAACAGGTGAAGCTACAGAAGCTACAGATAAAATTCATTTTTTTTGAGATAACGTAGGGATGCCATAGAGATAACACAAAGGTAACACAGAGATAACACAGAGATAACACAGAGATAGCACAGAGATAGCACAGAGATAGCACAGAGATAGCACAGAGATAGCAGGAGATAGCAGAGATAGCACAGAGATAGCACAGAGATAACACGAACAAAAAAATAGCTCACAGGACAGTTCCGACCATAGATAGCAGAGATAGCACAGAAGCATAGCCTCTGTTTCTATCCTGCAGGTTGCTGGTTGCACCCTGGTGATGTACATACACCAAAAACAGCAACGCGCACAAGCCGCCCTCCCCAAAAAAGAAACACAGCGGACACACCGCTCCCCGCCCTCTCCAAAAAAAGAAACACAGCGGACACACCGCTCCTCGCACACATGCTGTTCTGCTAAAAGGTTTTAAGTTTACAATCAAGACTTCTGTTCTTTTTTTTGCACTTGCGAAGCTTTTTGCTGAAAACGCAAAAAGCTAGAAAAAAAGGGCAAACGCAAAATTTAGAAGCAAAAGTCAAAAATATAAGGAAATTCCATAAGTAGGTTAAGTAGAAATAAGTAGACGCAAGTAGACACAAGTAACTTAAAGTAAGTTGATCCACTTCAGGACCAATCAAGAAAATAATCCTTAACCTACTTAAGTTTACTTATACAAGTAGAATAAGTTACTTGAACTTGATCATAAGTATCTCTAACTTCACTTTTCCTTTTGCCTACTTAGGACCTACTTATAACCATGTTAACCAAGTTAAAACCATGTTATAACCATGTTATGACCTACTTATAACTAGGATAAGTGAAAACGGCCTATAGGTACGAGTCACCGGAGGCGATCATCGTCGCAGCCACAGCGGACGACATCGCTGCAGTCGAGCGTGGAACTGCAACTGATGCCCAGACAGCGGCAGTTACACAGGCGGGCCTGTGGGGGCTCGTGGCGGCCGTGGATGCGAGGACACCCTGCTCAAGGGAGGCAGAGAAGACAATTGCAAGCTTTGCGATCGGAGCAGCGGCGATGGCCTGCCGCGACAAAGCAGGCGGAGGCCACGCTGTGAACCAGTCCCCAACGAGCCATTGCAGAAATTTGGCTGCGTTCTCGTACCATAACGTTCCTGTGCTTTACACACCCACGGTTGCGGGACAAGCTGCGAGCATAGTGCTCACAACAGCAGGAGCAGGAGCTGACACAGACACACCGAAAGTGTCCGACGCAGGGCTCGTTGAGCTTTTGAAGGCGGCGTGGAAAGACCGGAAGTCTGCGCTCCAAGCGTCAGCTGCTGGGCGCCAACGAGCTTTGGAGGCGTCGAACACCTTCACGGAGGAAGAAGGGGTATCAAGAAGGATGATATATCATGCTCTCGACCACTTCTCCGGAATGGCGATCCTTGCGCCACCATCACCTTCACTGGAAGCCCCGCTCAACCCGGACGTCTTGGTGCTCCTGCAGCTGAGAATGCACAACCATGTCAGCACCCGATGGCAAAAGCCACCGGTTGGGCCCGGGTTCGCCGCACTGGCAGCAGCCGCGGCATTGTATGAGGCTTTGCCAACGGACGTCATCAACATCATGTCGACCGAGGCAGTTGCGGCCTTGGAGCAGGCGGCACGCTACGTCGCTGTCGGGGGAATGGCGCTGAGCAACCATGGGCGATTCGTGGCCGCTTTGGAGAAATCTCGTGGGCTGACCAGGGCGGCCATGACGCTGATGACGAGCGGAAATTTCCGCGCGGGTGTTGCCGCCGCCATATATGTGCTGGCTGAATTGGCACCAGCTGCCACAATATTGGAATATTGGGATCTCAATCCCTCCTGGCCATTTCTGCTGCAGTGGCCGCGTCCCCGAGCCTTGAAGCGGGCCTTCAGCAGCTCAGGAAGGGGAACGAAGGGCAGATCGCAGTAGCCGCTGCGGTCCGGTCAAGCTTGACTCCGACAGTCGCCTCAGCTTCGCAGGGCCTGGAGGCTGCTGCTATTGCAGCGGCCACTGATCCAGAAACCAACAGGACGGATTGGGAAAGAGCCAGGAGCTTGGCCTCTCTCCATGGGCACGATGGCAGCCAGGTCCATCACAGCAGGTCGTCAACTTGACCCCATGTTGGGCGATGCTGAGCTCCTGGCTTCTGGGCACGCGGCGGCGGCATTGGATCTCTACAATGGCCACCTCCCAGCAGCTCAAAAAGCTATTCTGCCAACTTGTCTTGGCCAAACGCAGAAGCAGTTAACTCAGGCACTCGATGCCGCCAGCTGGGACGCTCAAGTTTCCACTTCGTCTTTAACTGGAAGAGCCCTCTTGCTGTCGGAAGCCACGCAGGGGGGCCGTGCCTTCCTAACAGCCCGCCCTGCTGGACCACTGTGCTTGGAGCCTGCCATTTTTCTTGCTGAACTTCGACATCGCCTGGGTATGCCAGATGCAGCGGACGATGCGTGGTGCCCCCAATGCAATTGCATTCTGGACCGCTTTTCCTTGCATGCTGGAACTTGTTCGGCCGGTGGAGAACGCACCTTGCGGCACCATGCCGTGCGAGATGTCATGCAGGTGGGCTGAAAGGGCAGGCTTGCACCCAGAACGGGAAAAGCCTGGGCTTCTTCTGCCTCAGCGGCCAGAAGACACTGGCCTTGGGCGCCGGCGGCCAGCCGATGTGTTTGTTCCCAGCCTTGGAGGCATTCCGACCGCACTCGACATCGCTGTCACAGCTCCTCAGCGGTCTGAAAGCTTACGTGAGGCTAGTGGCAAAGCCGTTGCGGCTGCAGATGCTTACGCCGACGTCAAGGCAGACCACCTCCAGACTGCACAGGTTTGCGAGAATCAAGGGGTACGGTTTCAACCGATGGTGGTCGAGTCCACAGGTGCTTGGTCCACTTCGGCTTCGCATACTCTTCGACTACTTGCCCGAGCCACAGCAGCCCGTGAAGGCGAAGATGCGGCTTCTTGCTACACCCATCTCCTGCAGGAGCTCTGTGTTACCGCTCGCCGCTTTCGCGGCCGGGCGGCCCTTCGTCGTCGAGCCGAGCTTGTCAGCCCCACGGAGGCGGATGTCACCCGACGGGATGCTGCCTTGCTTCTTGCCACTGCGGCCAGCTCGAGTTGAAGTTGAGTGTGAAGTCACCTGCTTCGTTTGCAACCAATCGCCTTCGCGACCATAGCCATACAGACCCCTGGGCAGCAGTTCAGCCTGCTTGCTCAGCAGCTCCGTCGGCGACATGTGTTCCGGCATTGCGACTCCTGTTATGGCCACTGTGACTTTCTGCATCACGATTGGCCAGACTCTCTGCAAGTGATTGGCTTCATCGTTCATCTCTTCCTACCCCAGCCATGCAACAAAGTCTTGGCTGTGGAAATGTGTCTCTTGGACTTTCTGTACAGTGCTCCCCATGATCTTCACAACGGTGGTTACATCACCACTGTTGATGTATCTGCATCACTCATATTTGTTCAGAGGGGTAGGTTGAAACCACCAACCAGATCAGTATATTAACCATCATTAACCATATAATAGCCATATATGAACCATTAGTAGCAGTCTATTAACCACATTAATTAACCATCAACCAGGGGGTAGGTATACCAATTGGATGGGAAAATGACAGGAAAAACACTTGGGCCAGTTCCCTGAAGATTTTCTGAACCAAAACGGCCAGCGAAACAACTCAGGGGCGGCGTGATCCTCTTCCTTGATGATGTAGAGGTGGAACTTTCCTGGCCGTGGTTGCTAAAGATGGGGATTTTAGCACGAAAAACCTGCGGATTTGATCTGGGAAACTTGGGAAGAATTGGAAGTCAACCATGAACCATTTGTGTTTAAGTAGGAAAAGTGGATTTTTAAACATCGAAAAGTTTGGAGTATATCATCACAAGCCATGCTTTGGGCTATCTACGATTGGCCATGATTGCCAAAAACATTCACCACAACAAAAAATACCGGTGTTTGCTGTGCCCACTAAAAGATTTTAAGATGTTTCATCGTTTGGGATCTATCTTGGATCATCCTTAAATGGATTTCAACAATATCTTGGTGGCAGATGGAATGCAGATGTTCAATCTTCTTTCGGCTGAACTCCGATATTAGTCCCATCTCTGAGACAACCCAAAAATGGGGTTTTTATCATGTTACATCCCAAGTTTTACCCTCTGGTAATTTCACATAGCTATTAAAATTGGCTATTTATAGTGGATTTACCCGTTGAAAATTGTGATTTTCCATACGTAGTTATGTTAGTTTACCAGAGGGTACTGTTTAAATCCTCAGTGGTTGGCATTTAAATCGGGTCAAAATTATGGATGATACCATTTGATACCTCATTGTTTTGTCTTTGCAAAGTAAATCAACGTGTTTCCATTTTTTGGTGAAGAATCGCGTGCAGTCCATTTTGGGGGGAGGTGAAAGCCAATTTTCATATAACTCTATATATATATAATTATGTATATATATATATATACATAGTTATGTGATATTATGTGACTAGGTTTTTCCCATATGTACAGCTGAGTCATATATTTTCTCACTGGATTTTATCCAAGTTATTTCCCAAACAGTTTATAGTGATTACAATCCATATATATATATACACATATGATCCAATAACTTATGAGTTATGTCATGTCAACACATGAAAATCTTCACATATTGTCATGAAATCAACAAGTCATTCCAGATTTTCATGACATAATTTTCACAACTTGCAATGTTCTTCATTCCCACACGTTTCGAGCCATGAACTTGCCTCTGGTTGACCAACTGACGGTCCCAGCGCACTTCAGAGTGCAACCGGAGCAAGTTCCCTTCACCCTGAACGACCTCCTTCCAGCATTTCAGTTGGATCTTATGGGCGAAGGATGCGAAGTGAACCATTACGTGTTCCCGATGATGACAGAGCCCAACATCTTCTTGCTCCCCGGAGTGGAGCTACAACAATACTGGGCGCCGTGGGATGAAATTTCGGATGCCTATGCCATCCACAACGTTTGGAGGTGCACCTGCTCCCCCAGAGATCATCGAGATTGTGTCCCGCCACGCCGAAGCCTGCCGCCTTGCGCAGCTGCACTTCGAGTCTGACCGTTTGGGACGGCTCATCGAGACCCTGGGAAGTCACTTCAGCTGGAGACGACCTGGGCCTGACTCTCAGAGCTGACTTACAACCCACGCCAAACGATCCTTGACCGTTGGAACTGCAGGACCAGCATCCAAGTTTACAATTTTTAAGCATCCTCTGGGAGCTGAATCAGCGTTATACCCTCTGGTAAACTTACATAACTATGGAATACTTTGGAAAATCAATGAAAATCACCATTTTCTGGGTCAAATCAATTATTTCTATGGCCATTTTCAATAGCTTTTTGTATGTTCACCAGAGGGTAATCCCTCCAGAAGCCTCTCCAGGTAGGTCCTTGGCTTCCAGTACCTCTTCCACCTGGAGTCCGTCACTTGTCCTTCAACTTGTAGGGCAAGGCTGCAGCCGTGTCCTGTTCAAAAAATTGGTGAAGTGGATCGATTGGCTATAAGTTATGGTTTACTAAGTTCACTTAGTTTACTCTTAGTTGAGTTACTCTTAGTTCTTACTTTTCTTAGATCATATCTTGGCTAAAGTTTTTTGATTTACTTCCTAAACTTAACCAATCAACTTCAGTCATATGTACAACTGTATAACAAGATTTACTGGATAAAATGCTTAAAACAATAATGATAACTGGCTAAGTTTAAGAAATATGTGGATATGGAAAATTTAAGAATTGAGAATTGGGATTGATCGATTTATGATGATTTCTGTTGGCGAAGTTGGTAGGCATAGCTAGGACAAGTGTTGGTTTTAGGATGCTTTTGGTGGCTATATCGAGCTAGATAGATGAGCTTATACGGCAAATTATACAACGGGGGGGGCATCACATTATAATAACAACTAGTAAATGGGGGGATCACGAAGAAAAGTATGGGATGTAGAAAGATTGAAAACTGAACGTTAGCTTACGGTCAATCCTCATATGAGAAGTTTCAAAACCCACAGTCTGTTGACGATTTTTCCTGAGCGACCCGAGACGTGTCTTATGCGACATGATCAGCTGGTGCGCATTTTCAGGGTCAGACCAACGGAAGACCCGTGGGTACGAGTTGACCTCCCAATACTTTCGGGACTTGTTGCGGCCCGCAGTGGCCATGCCAGGAGGCAGAAAGCTGAGGTCAATGTCAGTGCTCGCGAGCAGGATGTTGTACCATGATGTCATCACGGCTGCTGTCAGCGGGACAGCAGCCATATTGGCAACGCCGCGGGACCCGGACCATGGAGCCCCTTCGCCTCTTAGAGGCTGCGTACCGCATTCGACCGTTGTTTCCTACCCCTTCAGGCATCAGTAGACCCAGTGGTTATAGTGGATACACAGGGCACCCTTTGTTGAACAGTTTCCGTAGAAGGATGAAAACTGCTTCGCCCAGCCCAATCATGCTATTCCCAAAACGCTATCAATGGATATCTGGTTGGTGGTCTGGAACATGTTTTTTTTCATATATTGGAAATAATCGTCCCAACTGGCGAAATCATATTCTTCAGAGGGGTAGGTTGAAACCACCAACCAGATAGATATAAATGCGATTTGCGGAAAAAGACGTTAGAAACCCTGCAACCCAGCAGTGTTCAGAGACCACGTGGGAAATCCTGGGGATGTTCGATCTCCGCTCATGCCAAAGGAGATCGCACGAAATCATTGGCATTCAAAACTGGTGCAGAAAACAGATGAATTTGGATTTAACATGATTTAACCGCCATATAAACTAGTTCATTTTTTCACTTAGCATCAGTGTTACAGTATTGATACTGATTGGGAAGTCTGTTGTTGTTTCAAACATGTTGCACCCACTTCAACAAGTTGTCTTCACTTCCTTAGATGTTTCCGAAGTCGGCTCTTGCGGCTTGTAAGCAGCGAAGAAATTGTTTTTCCCCACCTACATCCGAATATTCATGGCCTCCTCCCAAACATCCCATTGAAAATGTTTGTTGACCTGGGATATTTAATGTATTGTTGTTATATAGCAATATTAGTTATATAGTATCTTAAATGTAATCTAATATGTATAGTTTAAATAATATATATAATATAACATATATATATATAATCATAATCTATAATGTAACACATATATATATAATATCATATATTAAAAAAATATAGAATCAGATAACATAATATATATATGTATATCCACCATTAGTTATAAAGTATGGGATGTCTCCCTCAGCTGGATCCGAAGATTCCTAGGTTGCATCGTCGCGCCCAGAACAAACACCACGTCCCTGGACCGCAACGGTGGCCGTTGATTTGTGGGTCGAACATGTTTGGGTGCCTGTTGCGTGGTTGATAACAAGAGAAAATTGGGAATTTGGCCTGCAACAAATGGGATATTTGATGATAATGTCTGGTAATTTGTGACAGTTTGCTATTGAAAATGCCCATAGAAATAGTTGATTTACCCATTAATCATGGTGATTTTCCAGTTCGTTTTTTGTATGTTTACCAGAGGGTAGTTGGATTAGTTCACCAAGAAAAATATGAGTTTCATGAAAAACCTCGGAGTTGATCAAAGATTGGGAATTCGCCATGGAAACACCAGGTGAACGGACCAGGGTGTCTAAGACCAAGGTACTGCCTGTCAGGACCACTAAGAGCCATGGGAGATAGGCCATATTTATTTATATTTATCGGAAAACAATGGATCTCCCACAAGTTTTTTCAATGTAGTTTGGCGATGTTTGGGGTGAAATAAGATATTTTTCGATACAGGCGGTCAGTGAAAAACGACCGACACGACGCTCACTGACATAGAAACTGACATGTGAGGTTAGTAAACATTAAAAGAAAATGCCAGATTCACCCAAAACCACGTGGAAAGAGAGCTGCAATAAACCGCCAGCGGGCGGCGCATGGAAAGCCTCCAAAATCTTCAAACCAGCATCAGCGCAGTGCCACCCCAGCTACGACAAATTGGCCAGCATGCTTTGCCCAAGCTGCATGTTGCTGTCGTGGGAAGACTGGCCCGTGTGGTCCCGCTTGAGCACCGTGAGCAGCTCTGTGTCTTGATTCTTCTAAAAGAATATGGTGAAAGGTGTATATATATATATATATTATATATATATTACCAATGAACTATTTAAACATCAATGGTTCATTATACAATCTGGTTGGTGTTCAAACATTTTTTCCATAATATATGGGATAATCATCCCAATTGACGAACTCATATTTTTTCAGAGGGGTAGGTTGAAACCACCAACCAGATCAGTATATTAACCAT